TGAGTAGTTTTTCTGTGGAGTTTTTAGGGTTCTCAGTGTATATTATCGTATTATCTGCAAATTGTGATAGTTTTACTTCTTTCCCAATCTGCATTCCTTGTATGTTTAGACATAGGTATTAACACTGATTTGGACTGTGAGGCACATCTGAAATTAAGCCAACAGGTTAAAATACAGAAAAAAAAAACTCAATGTAAACTTTTATGTATGTATGTATGTATGATGATGTAAACCTTTATTACATCACACATGACATTTGCCTTTGAAGTACTTTGAAATATTGCTTCAAACAAAGTTTCCCTAGTCAAACTGTTTGCATCTATTTCCTGATGGAGAGTGAGAAAATGTTCCCATGTAAAAAGGCAAGGGGACAGTCAACATGTACTGTTCTTTAGAACGTTCTTGTTTTAGGACTGGTTTTGGGTCAGTCAACAGCATTCTTCCCATAAGCAAAACTGTGTAAGGAGCTCAAGACACAGGAGGGAATTCCATTCTAGCATGAAATTCTGAAAACATGTTAGTATGATTTATGTGCAGTTGACACTGTGAAGGGAGGAGAGGATGTGGTTCAAGAAGAAATGTGCAGCACCTGCCTGCAAGGTGGTCAGAAGTGACATGTGGGTTGGAGGAAAGCAAGGTCAGAGAGCTGGTAGGTTCAGACTGGGGATTCTGCAAAAACAAGAGCAAATGCCTCAGGTGGCAACAGGATGTGGCAGAAAGAAGGACACCCAAATATCCCAAAATAGATGACAGGATCAAGAAGATGTGGTGCATATACACAATGGAATATGACTCAGCAATCAAAAGAGATGAATACATGCAATTTGCAGCAACATGGATGAAGCTGGAAGGGATCATGCTCAGGCAAAATAAGCCAGAAAGAAAAAGAAAAATTCCGGATGGTCTCACTCATAGCAGGAGTTTAGAAAACCTAAATTAGGGACCAGGAAAATACTAAATATAATAAAGTAAAAATCACAATCAACAGCATCTACAAGCCAGAGACACACTACCGTGCAGGGGAGAAGGGAGTAGGATCTCAAGGGGGTGGGAATTGTACGGGAACTATAACCAAGGTGAAAATGCATACATTGGCAAAAATGAAAAAAGGATGTAAAAATACATAAAATTAAAAACGAAAAAGGGGCAGCTCACCCAGCAGGGCTGGACAGGGAGGGGAGGCGGGTGGGGGCAGGTCTGAGGCCAGCGGGGCAGGGAAGCCTGTGCAAAGGGGTTTTGGGGAAGTGTCACGCCCAGTAGGGCCACGGGAAGGCGTGAGGCCAGCGAGCGGATGATCTGATTGATGCTCTCGCTCTTCCCTGGGTGTGGGTGAGGTTGAAGGAAGGGATGGAACCAGTGCGGGGCCGCAGCCCTGGCCCGTGACGCGCAGCATCCCAGGCTGGTGGGGGCATCGTGGGTTCTCAGAGGCGAGAGGGATGCGGAGCCTCCGTGGGGTTGGCAGCCCCTGAGGCTGAGGCGGGCGTGGACACAGGCGGCCACAGAGCGCGGACTCCCCCGAGGCGGCCGTGGAGGTTGGGGAGAAAGACGGGAACGGGCCTGCGAGTCTGCCCCCGACACGGGAGAGGCCGCGAACCTCTCTGCGTGGCAGCCAGGAGCAGCCGTGATCTAAGGAGGAGCAGCTCGGCCTCTCCTGGCCGTTGCTGGGTCAGGTCCCCGGGGGGCGGAACCAAGAGAACCTGCCCTGGGCGTCCTGTCCCCCGAGAGGATGACACCCTCCGCCCTCCGGGCCTGGGACACGTAGTGCTGGGGCCACCGGCCCGACCCCCGAGCCCAGGCTCTGAGCCTCTGGGCTCTGGCCGCGCCCCAGGCTGCTCAGGGGAGACCTGGTCCTCAGCGGATGCTGTGCGTGAGTGATCAGGGTTGGCCTGGCGGGGGGAACCTGCAGCCTGAGCAGCAGCGGACCCCACTGCTCACGCGAACCCACCACTTCCAGAAGCCAAGCTGTTCCCCGCAGGGCACAGGGCCACAGCGTCTGGACCTGGCCTTTGCCAACTCTGCTCCCCGACCCCGAGTTCGAGCAAGAAGCAGATTTTTTTTAAAGATATATTTATACAATTACTGGGGTACAGGCCAGAGGTGTGAGGGTGAGAGGATTCACCAGAGACAGAGCGGGGAGCAGAACAGGCAGACTGATGAAATACACTGCTGAGGGGCGCAGCGGGTAAGAAAGGAGAGGTCTGCTCGCCTCCCTGGCGGGCTGGGAATCGAACCAGCGCTGCAGAGGTGCGGACAGCTCCACAGCGCTGCGCTCAACCCGCTGCGCCAACAGGAGCTGCAGACGCAGATATTTCCAAGCCAGAAATCTCGGGGGGAGCTGACCAGCCCCAGCTGCCCCCAGCCCCGGCTGAGTCAGGTCAGGGGGTGTCCCCACAGCGGGGTGGGGGGGCTGGGGCGGACACCACCTCCAGGGCCCACTTTACAGCCTCTGCCGCCCTGGGAGCCGCCCCGGCCTCCGGCCTGCGGGGACGCTGAGGGGCACATGCAGCTCGTGGGCCAAACGGGGGAACCATGTCCCAGAGAGTTTTCAGTGTCGGGGTGAGAAGAGCAGACTCTGTCGCGTCTCATGCTCCCAACATGGTGTCATTTATTGTGCCCGTGGATGTGTCGTGTCATGTGAGACGCAGCAGGGTTTGAGGGGGACTGTGCGGAGAGACCCTAAAAGCCGAAACCTGGGACAGGTGCTCGCGACAGAGGACACGGCCTCGCCAGCGCCCCGCGGGCTTCTGGAACGGGGTGGAGTCCAGTCTCCAGGGAGTCTGTCCACACACCTCTTGGCGGTTGCTGTCCCGTGAAGGCTGAATGGCCCCCGGGGTGCCCTCTGCCGGGGGCGTGGCCTCTGCTCTGACGCCACAGAGAGCTCTGTGATGTCACCTGCGGAGCCTACTTAAGACCCCGTGCAGCCCGCGGCGGTGTAGGTAGAGCGAGGAGTGTTGGGATCGTGAAGGTGGACTCGGAGGGAGAGAGGCGTGTTGGTGGATTGGATTGCTTTTGCTTTGGTTATTTCTTATTCAGTTATTTATTTTAGCTATTTTATTTTTAATTCTGTTTTTTTATTTTCCTTTATTGTTTTATTATTGCTTATTTTTCCTTTTATTATTTTTTATTTGTTTTTACTTTTAATTTTTTTTTTTTTATTGCCCCCATTTTGTTTGTCTGTGTTCTTGTTATTTGGAGTTGTTAGTCCGTTATTGTTTTTTTTTTATATTTTTTAAATATTTATCTTTGTTAATTTTTTGGTTGTGTGTTTTCATTTTTGAGTGCGTAGTTAGTTAGTGAGTATTAGTATCCTACTTAGGTTAGCATAGTTAGTGTTTCTGGTAGAGGTAAGTTAGCGTCCTTACTGTTTCGGTAGAGGAGTCAGCGCGGGGAGCATTTAGTTAGTTTCAGGGATCCTTTTCACGTACTACTAGCTCTAGACTAGTAGTGAACTTGTTAATCAGGTAGCGGAGCTAGTGCCGAGGGCTCTAGACAGCCAGGACCTGCGAGTGTAGGAGCGGGTCCGCCCTCTGCCTCGATGTGCATGTCTGCCCAGGGAATGGCCCTGAGACAGAATGTGATGCTCGGCAAGCTGCGGGAGGGTACCCACACCAAGGTAAAGCAGGTGTGGCACCTGCCGATGGGCACGGAAGTGGCCATAAAGGTCATCCCCAAGTCCGGCACGCCTCAGAGGTTCCTGGTCTGCGAGGTGGCCTGCATGAAAGTCCTTTGGCACCCGAACATTCTCCAGCTCTTCCAGGTGGTGGACACTGAGGATGAGGTGCTGCTGGTCCCGGAGCGCACTCAGGGGGGTGACCTGCAGGACTACCTGTGCAGGTGCGGGCACCTGGGGGAGATGGAGGTGCGCCGCATCTTCCAGCAGGTCCTCACTGTGCTCAGCCACTGCTAAGCCCGGGGCGTGGTGCACTGGGACCTGAAGCCAGAGAACCTGCTCCTGGACCGGCACCGAAATATAAAACTGGCAGACTTCGGGCTCAGTGCCCAGTTCTCTGGGACAGCGCTGCTCAAGACCCCCTGCGGCAGCCCGCAGTTTGTGGCACACGAGATCCTCCGTCACCAGGAGTACAGTGGCCCTGCGGCATACATCAGAGGCCTGGGGGTGGTCCTCTACGACATGGACACGGAGCTGCCCTTCAAGGGCAACAGCCTCGGGGAGCTGCGGGCCAGGGTGCTGAGCGGTGTCTACAACGAGCCGCACTACCTCTCCCAGCAGTGCCGTACTAGTGCCGTGACCTTTTAAGGAAGATGATGATGCTAGACCCCCAGAGCCGCAGCACCCTGGACAGCATCATCCAGCACCCCTGGGTGGGGCTGCCCAATGGACTCCCGCCCTGCTGCAAGCCATCCCAGGCCAGCACAAGGCCGCGATAGAAGCCATGGTCTGCCTGGGGTTCCGGAAATAGGTCATCGACAGGGCGCTTTTGGAGGGCAGGTATGACCCTGTGATGGGGTCCTACCTCATGCTGCTTTCCAGGCAGTGGGTGGGCGAGGAGGGGCCGGACCCCACCATCTTCCCCAAGCTCCTCAGTCCCAATGGGGCCCACTGCACCCCGATACCAGAGGACCACCGGCAGCCTGAGTTCTCGGGACGGGAAATCTTGAGGGTGGGACTGTCCCCGAAGCAGGACACCCAGAAGCCCAACACCACCTCCTGGCTAGGCATCCCTCAGAAGGATGCCAGCCTGCAGATTTCTGTCTCCGGCTCAGGGCCCCTGCTGCCGGACGCCTGGAAGCCCAGCATGGCCTCCAGGTCAGGGCCTGTGCTGCGGGAGGCCTGGGGGCTCAACACCACATCACTGCCAGGCCCCCTACAGGAGGAAGCCATGCAGCCCAGCACCACCTTGCTAGGCCCCCAGCTGGAGGGGGGGGCAGGAAAGCATTAGGAAGACCTCCAGCCCAGCCCCCCCAGCTCTCCAGCCCCACCCGAATAACCCCAAGGAGGGCCCCTGTTCAGCCCACCCCCTGCAGAGACACTGGGCTATTAACACCATTCCCAAACCACCCTTCAGTCCAGCGGAGGCTACAAGGCCAGAGCTCGTTGAATCCTTAATAGGATTTTAAAATGTTGCATTTTCTGTCCACCCTTTGGAAGAAAACACAAGAGCAGAGTTCACCCTGCTGGGGATTAGATGGTCACCAGCACCTCCCTAGAATTCACTTCCCCGCTCCAGGGCAGCCACTCAGTGGCCATAGTGAAAGGAGCACACCAGCGGAGGCCAAGCCCTGGAGAAGGCTCAGAGGCTGGGCCCAGCCAGAGGGGCCAGAAGCAGCATGAGAACATAGGTGTGGAGCACAGATGTCCGCAAGCACAGCAGTCCCCGGAGCAGAGCAGGTGAAGGGCAGGGAGGGCAATGGGTCTGGTGAAACACCTGAGGGGAACAGAGCAGAGTAAGGGGGGAGAGGAGGGCTTAGGGCATCTGAGCAGGTACAGGGCCCAGAATGGGAGTGGAGCTGTGTGGGCTGCGCCCCCAGAGGCCCCAGGGCCATAGGCTGGGACCCCAGGGCCTTGCTTCCCCATCTTAGGCTCTATCCCGTGTGGGCCCTGCTGGTGGCCCCTGGGCACCCGGACGGCGCAGACGATGCAGGAGCTCTTCGGTCTGACTGGCGCTGTCAGGGACTGACATACACGGTAGGAAGTCCCCCTCTACTGAGCCCCTTTTCACAACGGAGATTCCAACTCTGAGAATTGCTTACCCGCCAGTGAGTGGTGCCTCGATAGGGCCTCCTGGTTTCCATCTGCACTTTGTCTCATCTGAGTCCATGCAGCACTTTCCGGGGGGTGTCACTAAGGAAAGAGCCTCCTCCGTGCTTGGGATTCACTGGCTCTGCTCTTCCCACGCAGGTCCCAGAGGGCACAAGGAGGCGGCCGCCGTGGACACACTGGTTCCCACTGCAGGGGCACCTCCAGGTGACCTGTTATTCCTGCAAGCCCTGGGGTGTGGAGGCATCTGGACGCTCTTTCTACGCCTGGAGGAGACAGTCAGAAATGGATTATTTAGTTAAAATGTCTATCCCAGGACACATTAAATTGGTGTTTGAAACTGACCATGTTTGCTCCCCGTTTATGACTGCACCCACACTTCCAACACATCGGACATCAGAGACCTAAAAATCCTTTAACATTCTTGTAATAAGCAGTGAAAAGTTTAGAAAATTTAGAAAATTTTGGAAAGCATTTAGAAAATTTTAGAAAAGTGAGAGGGGTCAAGTGGTGATATGACAGACAGGAGTGTGAAGCAGAGCTAGCTGTGAGTATGGAATTAGGTATTTGCACTATTTTCTTTAGGTGTATGTGCATGTCTTGCACTGTGTGCAAGTTTGTGCATATGAGTCTACATGAGTGTGGCTTGTGTGTGCATCTATAGGTATGAAGTATTTATGTACCTTCTACCATCAGAAAAAAACTTACAGCTGTAGAGAATTGGTACGGTGTCTTCAAAAATAGGGCCTCCCGGAGGGCCCAGCAGGTTGAGCCCAGCGCTGAGGGAAGTGCTGAATCTCCAAAGTCCCCAGTGTGGCTTGTGTCCCCGAGTCCACATCTGTAGGGGGTTTAATTCTGCTCCAGTATAACTGTAGATGCAGGTCAGTTAACGTTTTCCCGGTTTCTTGCCATTGGTCCCTGCTCCTGGTCTGAGCCCTGGTCACCCATTTCTCTTTCAGGGGCATTGATGTTGTCCTGCACAGTGTTGTGAGTTTATGGTGGCGCTGAGCCCAGTGTCTTCACTCTGCCTCCGTATTGCGCCTCCTGCGTAACACAATTCATTTTTGAGACCATAATTACTTTGTAAACAAAAACAACTAAATATAATAAAAAGATAATAAAACTGAAAAACTAGCGATGTTAAAAAAATCACGTCCAGTGACTTGTATTGAAATTATTGAAAAATTATATACATCATGGCTAAGTGTGGTTCATTCCTGTAATACAAGACCAGTTCGACACTTACATATCAAGTAATATAACAGTTTACATAAGAGTGAATAAGAAAAAAATATATTACTGTATCAACAGACATAAAAACACTCAATATATTTCAACACATATTCAAAATTAAAAAAAAAGTAAATTCAAAAACCCAGAATTTAAGGGGCTTTTCCTTAAACTAATTAAATGTATAAAAGAAAACATGTAACTAACATTACACTTAAAGATGAGCCACCAAATAGATTTCCTCTTCAGATGGAGAAAAAGGCCATTTTGTCCTCTGCCACTATACCAATTCAGAACTGTGGGGCTGTCCTAACTAATATGATAAGTAAAAGAAAAGAAAAGCTATAAAGGGAATATATTGATATGAAACAATCAATTTTGTATTCCAGTTAGAAAACCACTAGAAATCTTAAAAAAATCTCAGAAATAATAAGTAATTATAGTAAGGTTGCAGGGTATGTGGTCAATATACAAAAGTTTATTAGTTTCCCCATAAGCAACACAAACAACTGGGATTTAAAATTAAAGAAACGTTATCTGTTATAATTATTCTACCCCAAATGAAATACCTAAGCAAGGCCTCCCCTGGTGGTGCAGTGGTTGAGCGCTGGGCTGTGAAGCTGCCCACATTCTCTGCAGCACTGGTTCCATCCCGGCCACCAACAAGGTTCCCACATAGCACACAGACCTCTCCTTCTGACCGCTGCTCCCCTCAGCAGCGTAGTCTGCCTGTTCTGTTCCCTGCTCTGTCTCTGGTGAATTCTCTCATCCTCCCATGCTTCTGAATGTAGCCAGTGCTTGTATAAATAACAAATAAATAAATAAATAAGTCTTTAAAAATAAATAAATTAAAAAAATAAAAAAATAAATATCTAAGCATAATCTAACAAAATTTGCAGGAGACCTATACACCGAAAGCCAACAACACTCATAAAATGGATCTAGATACAGACCTAAACCTTATTTTAAAATGAACAAATGCAAATTGAATCATAAACATGAAAGTAAAATGCAATACTATAAAACTTCTCGAATTTGACATAATAATACAAATAGATGTGACTTTGGATTTGCTAATAACTTTTTAGGTAAAACACTAGAAGCATGACCTATGAAATAATAAACAGACCTTTGCACTTTATTAAAAGTTTATGCTCTGCAAAAATTATGTTAAAAATACAAGTAACTTATTTGGAAAATACTAAGATAGCTGCATTTACCAACATGCATTTGTCAAAACCCATAGAACTCACAGCACTAAGAATGACCCTTGGTCTACCTACATTTTAAAGAATCCTTTTGCAAGTTCGGGTACACCAGAATGTGACACAGACGATGACAATAGAATGTAACTGTATTACACTGTATGTATGACACATGCTTACAGAAAGAGATTTTGGAAAAGGTGCTGTAGACTCAAAATGAAGGAAAGAATTCTACAGTTTGCTCTGCTGGAAATGTCCTTTCCACACTGGCAAGGCTGCCTGGGCAATAATGTCAGCAAGACAATAACTTTGTTTGCTTTGAAGAGTTCCTCTGGTGATAAGCAAAGACAATGTTGAGAAAGTCCACAGTCCTATCGTGTTTATAAGTTGCTAGACGAAGGAACATGAGCTAATGACCTGAGTGACGAGCGTGTCTATGAGGGCACTTGTCAAAATAAGAGATTCCAATAAGCTTTGGTCCTTACATCTTCCCCCTCACAGGTAACTCTGACTGACTCGACTTTGTAAAATCAAATCTGGACTTGCTATTGGTTTTTAAATTGGGGGTTGGAGTCATAGGCCTGTCAGAACATTCCTATATGTCCAACATAACCTGTGCAATATGATCCATCCCTGGAAGGCATTGAGTTGATTGGTTAAACTGTTAACCCAGCCTACTAGATGTACAAGACCTCTGCTGTCCCCTGCCCTCAAGGTGCTGGTGTCCTAGGCAAGAAGACACATCATCAAGGATTTATAGACTCTAAAGTTTGTCTTTGACAAACTTTGTTTGGTTTCTTGATATTCCACAGAAAAGTAACATCATCCAGTATTTATCTTTGCTCTTCTGGCTTATTTTGCTTGGCATAATAGCTTCCAGTTCCATTCATGTTGCCATCAATGGTGTGAATTTATCATTTTTTGTTTGCAGAGTAGTATTCCATTGTGTGTATGTGTATATATACCACATTATCGCTTCCATATGGCCACTGAGAATTCTTTCGTTTGATTCCTCTATTACTTTAAAAAAACTCCATTTTGGGGAGGAAGTCCACTCATCTCTGCTAAACAGACAAGTATAGGTCTTTGCACCTGGCGGGGTAAATTCTATACTCCCAAAACACTAACAAAAATGTAAACCAATGGTGCTTCTATAATAAAAATTAAAAAGATGACACATCATCAACATCACTAAGCTGTCAGTGTGGTGGATAGCTTGATGATTAACACTATGGAGAAGAGGGCCTCCTCAGTGGCGCAGCGGTTGAGCGCTGGGTTGCGAAGCTGCCCGCAGCCTCCGCAGCACCGGTTCGATCCCCAGCTGCTCCCCAGCCACCAGAGGAGGGTCCCACATGGCACGCATACCTCTCCTGCCACCCGCTGCTCCCCTCAGCAGTGTACTTTGGTCTTTCTGCCTGCTCTGCTCCCCGCTCTGGCTCTGGTAAATTCTCTCACCCTCCCGCGCTTCTGACTGTACCCAGTGCATGTATAAACAAACAAACAAACAAATAAATAAAGCATGCCTCTTTAAAAAAAAAAAAACACTATGAAAAGAAATAATCAAGGAAGAAGAAAGGCCATATTTTCTTAAATCAAGACTTCAGGGAAAGCCTCTCTGAAAGCAAGGAAAGACAAGCAGGGGGTCCAGCAGGGGCAAGCCATGGGTGGTAGTGTGCTTGCAGTCTTTGAGGGGCAGAACTATGGCCTGAAGAGCAATGTTGTCTCAAATCTACAGGCCCTGGCGTGGCTCTTTTGGGATGTGTGAGGGGCCCTAAGTGCTTGAAATGCATTCAGCTTTAAATGAGGACTACACCAGAGATGGTGATTATATAACACTACCCAGTCCAGCATCCATTAAGTCAGGGCTAATTAGCACATTTCCCTTTCCAGTTGTGCCCTCAATAACATTAGTGCTGACACCCACTGCCACCTACAGATTCAAGGTAATAGACTTCATCTCTTCTACAACACGATGGGTTTCCTGAAGGAATTGAATCATTTTCCAGGACTGCCTTGGGCAAAGTGGGACACAGAAATGGGGCCTGAATTAGAATGGGGGTGAGGAAGGGGAAGCTGGGCTGCAGGTGAAACATCCAGCACAAGACTTTGATAGACAACTTCATGCTTCCAAGGAGAGCCTGCCCCAGGTGGACTCAGGACACCAAACGCTCAGTAGATAATGAATGTCCCTCCACCAAAACATCTGTGCTTTCTATGTCTAGCCCCGCCCGTTGAGACTCTCACCTTTTTGTGTCTGCATTATGTTCTGTGACTGACACCACATGGTCACCCTGCTTACAGTTTTATTATACTAAGCAATCACAGCCTTCCATTGCATAACACTGATTTTATTGAAGGACAAATCTGCCCTGTTTGTTTCATTCTGGACACTGATAAAATAGAATAATGATTTCAGTTAGTATCTTGAGTGAGTCAAATTTATAATTTATCCCCACTTGATATGGTCCAAAAATGAAAGAAGTGGAAGACTGTGGACAGTATGAAATGACAGCTTAATTGTTAGGAAAATAAAACCCAGAGCCAGAGAGTTAAAGGCTTTCCTACTGATGTTAAAATTGTTTTCAGAGAGGACAGACATGCAGCATTTGATGCCAAGGAACACAAGTAAGAACGCTCTGGTGCATAGGGCAGAGAAACAGCCTTTATATGTACATTTATAACAACTGAAAAAGTGCCCATTATTTCTGTAAAGGGCTCATACAAGTAGTACAGACTTGAGTGGGGTAGTGCAAATCCAGGAATCAAGGGTCCCTGTAATTTCATCTGTCACTCACTCCTGATGCTTTTATATGAGGTTCCCCAAAGCACTTTGGATTTCAGATCATCTCTGCCTTGTACTCTGGGGTCAGTTTTTCTCTCTTAATGATCCATGTGTTAGATTGATACTGATCAGTATAGATGAGATGAGTGAATGGGACATAATGCACTTAACAAACATGTATGATTCCTTCTGCAAGCCCAGCACAGCAGGTGCTCAGTACAGGAGACAAAACCTGGAAGACATGGCCTTGCCTTGTACATATTAGAGTCCAGGGAGGGCAAAGAGTAATCTGCCCCTGAGATGCAGACAACAAGCATAAATGTCACCCAGAGGATAGAAATTGTCTACCAGGACAGGATCTGACTACAAGTCAGTATTGTCTGTGGTCTTACAGAGGTTTTTTTTTTTTTTAAGGTTTATTTATTTATGCATACAAGAGCTGGGGTACAGGCCAGCGATGCAGGGGTTGTGGGCAGTGAGAGGATCCATCAGAGACAGAGTGAGAAACAGAACAGGTGGATTGACTGAAATACACCACTGAGGGGAACAGCTTAGACTGAGACAGGAGAGGTCTGCCACGACATGTGGGTATCTCCCTGGAAGGGATTGAACCTGAGTTGCAGTGGCTGCAGACAACTTCATAGGTTGCATCTAACCCCTTGTGCCACCAGGAAGGCCCCCTTACAGGGTTTTTAAAATTGAATTTAAATGCCCAAGTAAGCAATCTCTTTGTTTATTTTATATTCCATTTTTTTAAGATTTTTTTTTTCATTTATACAAGAGCTGGGATATAGGTGAGATGCACAGGAGGCTGAGAGGATTCACCAGAGAAAGAGTGGGGAACATAACAGGAAGACTGACAAAATACACTGCTGAGGGGAGTAGTGGGGAGACAGGAGAGGTCTGCTGAGTCATGTGGGACCCTTGCCGGCCAGCCAGGATGGAACCCCCACTGCAGAGGCTGCGGACAGATTCACAATGCATCACTCAACTGTCTATGCCACCAGGGAGACCCTCTTCATCTAATTTAAATATCAACTATATTCATAGACCAAAAATTCCCCTTTTTAAAGTGTACAATTCAGTGGGTTTTAGGAACTCATAGTTGTAGAACTATCACCACAACTTAATGTTAGGACATATTCATGAACTTCTGAGGTAATGAAACTTAACCCAATAACAAATCCTCCCTGTGTCCCTCCCTCTCTAGTACATGAAAAATTGCCCATCTGTTTTCTATATCTGTGGAGTTATTTGTCTACTACAGACAATTCATGTAAATGCAGTCACACAATAGGTATTATTTGTGACTGGCTGCTTTCACTTATTCTATTTTCAAGGTTCATGCATGCTGTACAATGTATGGATCAGTACTTCATTCCTTTTCCTTGCTAGATAACATTCCATAGCATAAGCTAGCATATATTTGTTCTGTATACCATTTGTAGCACAGATCTTCCAAAACCCTGGCAGTTTCCCAAGTGATGAGCATGTCCTTAAGACATAAAATACATAAAAGAAAAGAGGCAATGTGCTCACGGATCTCAACCTCAGAGATGCATTCAGGGACTCACTCTAATGGCACAGAAATAACAACAAAAATAAACAAGTGGATTAATTCTGGCGCAAGGGGTTAAGCACAGCACCATGAAGCTGGCCATAGCCTCTGCAGCA